TAATGTACATGGTGTCAGCGAGTCTGCCCACCACTCACGCAGTGGGTATTTTTCCCCGATGGAGCAGGAGCTGGGGCACATGAATCTGTACCTCTCTCCTTGGTCCTGGATGCCATGTTCTTCTTATAGCATGGTAATATATGGAATTTCTAAGGGTAATTTTAACTAGGTGCCTTTTTTTTTTTGCCTTACACATTCTAGTGAGGATGTTTGAAGAACCTGAAAACTCAACTCAAACAGACTTATACAGTAAAAAGTAGTTATTTCTTATATAGTTGAAAAGTCCAGTAGCAGTGCAGGCTTCAGGTGTACTTTGATCCAGGGCTTCACATTATTATCAGGACTTCAGCTCCTTCTCTTGATGCTTCTCTCATTCCTCCCTCTGTCAATGCATCAGTTCATACTCCTTATCATCACGAGGTGGCTGCCAGCAGTTCCAGGCCCTGCATCTACACGCCATGTCATCCAGAGAAAAGGGACCACTTTGGTCCCTGAGTCCCAAGAAGAAGTCCTGAGATTCACTCTGATTGGGGAGACTGAAGTCATTTGCCTGCCCTAACTCAATCACTGCAGCCAGGGGATAAAACTGGCCTGGCCTGAGGTGTGTGCTCGGTCCCTAGAACTGGGACTGGAGCCAGAGTCCCAGGATCCCCGAACAGAAGTGAAGACTGTTGGCAAGAGGGAAATGGAAACCAGGGAGCAAGCAACATGGACTTTAAGTGGAAGCTGCGTCACTGCGTTGAAGCTCTATACGTGGAAAATACTTGATCTCTCAGCAACCCTTTTCCAGGCACTGAATTTGGGGGCTCTCCTAGGCCTGAGGCGAAGCCAGAAGCTCCTGAAGCTGCTACTGCTGTAGGCTGCCGGACAGAAGGTCAGATCCGTCCGTGGGTCTCTACCACGTGCCTTCAAGACCACCCTGCGCTAGTGCAGCAGGGCCGACGAGGACGTCTTGGCCCTCAAGGAATTACGACCCTAAAACACCAGGCACAGCAGGTAGCTGGGATTCCACGCTGGTTTATGTGGGAAAGCCCGCTGTGATCAGCGAGGGCCTCTGGAGCAGGTGGAAGTTTGTGCTGGATCTTAAAGCGATGGCCTCCAGTGTGGGGTGTGCACACCACAGGGGGTGTGCAGGACAGTTATACCACGGGACAGAAATAACATGACTCAAGTCCTATTTGGGTTTATATTTTGTCTGAAAACACAGGATTACTGATATTTAATATACAGATTGACAGTTGTACACTGGTATAATTTACATATAAATGTACACATATTGGGAGTACATGTTACCTTTTTTTCTGATAGAAGTGTGCAATTTAAAAGGATCGGAGACTAAAATTGCCTTGAAGGATGGAACCAAGGATAAGCAGAAGTCAGAATGAGTGCCACAGAGACTCGTTGGAGAGGGTGTGAGGTAGGGAGCGAGAGGCCACTTCTCTTAGCCTGTGTCCTGCTGGGAGCCAAGGAGCCCAGCACCCAGGGGGGGCCTGTCCTGCCTTCCTCAGGTGGCCGTCTCCACGGTGAGCCTCCTCCCTTGGCAAGGCCCTGCTTAGAGGGGTCCCACAGGGCTGTGGCTGAAGCCTGCTGCCGGTTCTCCCATCCACAGCGTCCCTGCTCCCTACGCCTCACAGGAAGAATGCCGGGTGCCCACAGCCGGTGAGTCACGGTACACGGCCCATGGAAAGGGCCCGATGCTCGCCACGACCTTTGGGGTTTGCCATGCCGTCTGGTGCCCACGCCAGGGGTATAGGGTGTCCAGCCCGAAGAGGCCCTACAGCCCTGAGGCTGCAGATGGCTATATAAGGCTGAGGCTGCAGGAGGTGGTGGGGGCTGCCAGACCCCAGGAGCAATTTGGCTGGTCTGGGTGGTGACGCAAACGTTTTCCCTGCGCTTCACAGCGAGACTGAATCATATCCTCCAAACCTCAAGCCCGACAGGCACACGTAATGCCGAGACTCAAGAGTGGCAAAGAGGGCTGACCTAGGCACCCGCTTCATGACAAAGAAATATTTGGGACCACACAGAGAAAGCTGTCCCAGGAGAGCTAGTCCCAGCCCTGCCACAGACAAACTGTGGGGCCTGGGTCAGCTCCGCTCTCAGGGCCTCAGTTTCTGCATCTGTAATATGGGGACAATAAGCCCTGTCCTGCTCCTCATGAAATGCCAAGGATCCCCCAAGAAATCGGGTCTGGGAGAATGGAGATGGGACACAGAGGCAGCCCTTGTTCTTTGAAAAAGACAAAGCCCGGGCTTATAGCAAATTTGGGGTCATGATGACTTGGGGGATTTACTGCCCGATTGTCACATGTTGCCCATGGTCAGGACGTGACTTCTAGGAAGCCACCGGTCTTTGTGCTTAGCTCACCTAGATACAGCCACTTCTGTTTCTCCTCGCCTTTTGACATCTGTGACTTCCCACAGTGCCCCTGGGAGATGGGCAGTGCAGGAATTGTTAACCCCATTTCACAGCCAAGAAAACAAAGGTCTGGAAAGTTCAATGGCTTCTCAAGGCCACACAGCAAGCTGGTGACAGAACCTGGATGAAGATCTAGCCCCTGGATTCTCAGTGCAAAGATCCCACCCTGTGTTGGGACCCCCACCAAGTAGGCCATTGGGGCCTCAGAATCCCACTCTGTAAAATGCAAAAAGTGGTGAGGAGTCTGCCTCGTCAGGCTGCTGGGGTGTTTCCTAGAAGACACATGGGGATTGTCTAGAATATGGCCATGGCTTTCCTAATCTAGAACCCGCTGTGCCTGATTCTCCCAGAAGCACCCTGTGAAGTGCTCCTCAAAGGCACTCTTTCTAGAGAACACTTGCCCTCGCGCAGTGGTGTCCTGCAAAGAACATCCTTCTGGAAGACTTGGTCACACATCAGGTTGACCTTGAAAACCGGAGCAGCCAGAAAAGCAAGCTTGGAGCCCAAACCTCACTTACTGACCTCTCTGTCTCTCTCTCTTTTTTTTTTTTTTCTTTTTGGTGGAAAGAATGGAGCAGCCTTGACTACACGATCATTTACAAAATTAAGTAGCCAAAAATCACATCGTCTAGACAAATAGATTTTATGGGTCCAGTTAATTCCTGCTGGTCAAAAATAGACATGCTTAATAAGTAGATATATTTAGAATCTGTCATTATCTGGTTCCCAGGGGTGAAATCTCAGCTCTTATTTCATAGACTCTTAATTTCAAACAGAGCTCTGTGAACTCCCACTCAGACCTCACCCTCTTTCCTGACAGCGTGGGGGTGGGGGGCAGGAATGGTGGGGGGTGGGGGAGGGGAAATTTGACCACAAGAAGCCACTGAAGTCCTGAACCTCCAGGCCCCTCCCCCTCAACCATCTTAAGTCAGGAAACCAACAATTGCTTCTTTGGGCTGCGTTGCAGGGCGTGGGAAGCCGCTGGGCCAGCAGAACTCCAGAAAGGTCTCCTTGCTCCCAATGTCTCACCTGTCCCTGTGCCCCAAGCTCCACCACCATCTATTCTTTGCCCCTCAGGGCCTGGCCTCAGAGCTGTGTGAGCTGCGGCACCTCCTGCCATCACAGCACAGCTGTCCCTGGGAGGCTTCCATTCTTGAGTCACTAGGGCGTGAGCAGAGGAGGCCGGTGCTGGCTGAGAGCAGGACAAGCGCCCAGAGCCTCGAGGGTTCCAGATACGCCAGAGGCGGGTGGCGCCAACAGAGTGGGCAGGCAGGCACTGAAGGGACACGTCGCCCACTTGCAAGGTGTCACTTCACACCAGCTCTGGGTTCCAGCTGCCTCCCTGGGCCACTCCGGGCCACCCCCGAAGGTGCTGCCCTCTGGTGGGCCGGAGGTGAGGCCTGGAGGGGGCCTGGGGGCCAGCCAGTCTGAGGTGGGATTCTCTCCCGCTTCAAGGGAGGTGAGTCCCCCGCCCTTACCCCCAGGGCCACGGGCTTTGCACCCCGGGCCCTGCCAGGGCTTAGCCAGGCCAGGAAGGAGTGGCCCTCTTTACTCTCTATGCATGCAAGCAAGATGTGTTCGTTTCCTGTGGCTGCATAGCAAATCACCACAAAGTAGATGGCTTCAAACACATAAATTTGTTCTCGCGGTTCTGGAGGCCAGACGTCCAAAACCAAGGTGTCGGCAGGGCTGTGCTCCCTCTAAAGGATCTGGGAGAGAACCTTCCTTGCCTCACACAGCTTCCCGTGGTCCCAGGCCTTCTTTGGCTTGTGGCAGCGTCTCTCCTAGCTCTGCCTCCATCTTCACGTGGTTTTCTCTTCTCTCTCGGTCTCTCCTTTGCGTGCTTCTTATAAGGACGCTTGTCGTTGGATTTAGGGCCCACCTGGGTAATCCAGGCTGATCTCATCTCAAGATCCTTGATTACAACCGCGAAGACCCTTTTTCCACACGAGGGCACAAAGGCGTAGGCTCAAGGCAGAATCCCCAGCTGGGCGGCTAGCCCTGGCCACTCTTTAGCCCTGCTGGCTGCCTCACGCACCCTGAGCAAAGACTTAGTGGCTTAGGGGACAGCCATAACCCCTGAGCAACATGCCCCACATCTGGGTCGCCAGCTGAAAGGCTGTCAATAAGATGAGGAATGAGGCCACCTGCAGGTAGTAACAGATGGCCAAAACTCGGGCTCCAAAATCATCATTCCTCTGCCTGAGTGACCACCATGACCCTCTCCCACCGTTAGACAAACTCATATTCATTCACTGAGACCCAACTCAAGCCTCACTTCCTCCATGATGTCTGCTCTGCCCTCTTCTCCCAGGGGCTGCCTCCGCTCCATTTCTTCAAGGCCCTTGTGGTCTTCATCTCTGTCTCTCCACATCCTGGAAAGGGCCTGTGTAGGCCACAGGCCCCATGACTTTATGCTGAAAGCCCAGCATCCCTCCCCCCGAAATACAAAAGCGACTCCTCCAGGATTCCCTCCCGCCCCCCGACCCCGTCTCCCCATCCTCACTGCCCTCCAGGTTCCAGTCTTTGCCAGGAAAGAGTACCTCCCTCAGCGTCTTTTCTTGTCTTCTCTTCCTTCCCAGGCTGGTTGTGGGCGCTCCATTGGAAACCAACGGCCACCAGAAGACAGGAGACGTGTACAAGTGTCCGGTGACCCAGGGGAACTGCACCAAGCTCAACCTGGGTAACTTGGGCTGCCGGTCTCTCCACAGTGAGGCCAACCGTTGTCCAGGGTGTGGCAGGCTCTAACACACATCCATGTCCACAGTCACAGTGGCTCCTCACAGCTGCCCCATGAGATGACCCAGCTGGTGTCACTGCCCCCATTTTACAGATGAGGAAGCTGAAGTCAGAGAGAGAAAGCAACTTGCCCACGGTCACACAGCTTGTCAGGGGCCAGCCAGGATTCAAACCCAGGCCTGCAGTGTCCCAGGCCACCACTCTTTCTGACCTATCCACTGCCCCTCAACTCAAGGGTTTCTCTCCCAGCAGGAGAAAAACATTGCCTGTCTTCTTTCTGATTTGAAATAACAACAAAAGCTAACATTCATCTATCTTATATAGTGTTCCCCACATGCCAGGCGCTGGTTTAAGCCCTTTTACATATTTTGACTCATTTAATCCTCACAAAAACCGTATGAGATTTAACTACTTAACAAAGGAGGGAATGACAGCATGTGGAGGTGAGGGGACCTGCCCGGGGTCGCCCAGCGAACAAGCAGCAAGGCCGGGATTCCAGTCCAGACAGTCCACAGCCAGCCTTCACCACCACACACACTGCCTCTCTGAAATTAAGGCTTTGTTCCTCACTGGAAAGTTTTCAGGGGTAGGGGAGATGCTGTGAGCAGGCTCAAGGCCTTCCAAGCCCTTGTAAAATCTACATGTGTGTGCACACACGTGCATCCAGGAAAGCACACACACTAGTCCTCTAAAGGCACGTCCACTTGGTCCTAAAGGTCAGCCAGTGGCCGGGCCATCGCTTCGCTTTCAGAAGGAAGCAAGAGTTCCATTTGGTCTGACAAGCCACAATTCCAGGCCTTGCCTAGAGGACTGGCCTGCCCCAGGGCCAGGACCCTTGGCCTCCCCCTCTCCCGGGAGGGGAGCCTCTGCCCTAGAGCAGTGGGGTGGGGCTCCCTGGGGAGGTAGGGGTGGGGAGCAGGGGCCTGATGGGGGAAATGGCAGAGCTTCCAGAGATAAGCAGATGGAGGAAAAGGTCCACATCAAAGAGAAAGCACGAGAACACAGATACCCAGGCCAGCTGTCCCATCACGTGGCCCTGGACGCTCCCGCTGTCCACATCTGCGTCAGCGCTGAGGATGGGAAGCTCAGACCCCAGCTGGGGCCCAGACTCCAGTGGGGACACAGTCTAGAGGAGGCGGGACCTGGCCGGTGGCTCATGGATCTGGGTCGTCACCGCCGTGAGAGCGCAGGATTCCAAGACAGGCCAAGCTGGCCTTCTCCTTCCAGCTGTGCAGTTTCCTCGCTGAGTGTCCATGGGGAGCTCACATCCCCTCTCTGAGCCTCGGTTTGTTCATGTGTAAAGTGAGGAGGGTAGACTCGAGGACCCCCCCCAGGATTCATTCCAGGTCGAATACGTCCCCCAACCTGTACTGGGCACCCAGTCTGTGCCAAGCACTGTGCTTGTTACTGGGGGTACAGCAGGGAACAAGAAGCCAAGGGCTCTGCTGGGAGGGGACAGCGAGTGAGTAAACAAATTAGAAAGCAAGGTAATCTCGGGCAGGGCTAAATGCTGTGCCATCAACCAGGGTGCTATGGGAAGAGGAGCTGGGTGGTGGGGGTGGCAGTTCTACCTTAGCAAAGGGAAGGCCTCTCTGAGCAGGTAGCATTTGAGCAAAGGTCTGATGGTGAAAAGGAGTCAGGTGGGGCATCCCAAGCATTGGGTAAGCAAGTGCAAAGGCCCTGAGGGGGGAATGATCTTGCTCTGTTTGAGGACGGAAGGAATAGGCACATGGCTGGGGCAGAGAGAGCAAGGTGGGTGGTGGGAGAGGTGGGCACTGGGCTCAGGGCCTGGGCCCCCGAGAGAAGCTCCTGGTCCAGGTGGGGCCACAGGTGAACCGATCATTTAGTTTTCTCAATTGCTCTGGTTTCCGATGTGGACCTGATTTCCCTCCAGAGGAGGAGCCCCTGCTGGCAGTGAGAGTTGAGGCTGTGAGACCCTGGGAAACATTCCTGAGCTGAGGCATATATGGGAGGCAGTGGGCAGCAAAGTGAGTGGGAAAAGTGCTGATCAGGAAGCACTCATTTGATGGGTGTCCCTGTCCCTCCCACCGAGGAGAGAGGCACGGCAGGAAGACCATCTGTCAGTCTAGCCCCCCAGTGGAAAACGCAAGGCTGGGAAACCTGAGTCCTGGCTTTTCCTATGGCCTTTCCAGTCTGAGCTGCACCGAGCCGGGAACGTTCTTTCCTCTCTCTCCAGGGAAGGCTAAGTGGGTGTCAGTCATTCACACCTCAGTGTGGAAGAGTCTACCCCAGCACTGTCTTCCCAACACCTGGATGAAGTCAGGGTTTCACTGAGGGCAGAGGCTTAGGGAGGGCGTGTGATTCTGGAAGGCAGACCCTGTGTCCTCGAGGAGGGGCTTGTGCCCCTCCACCCTCACACAGACCCGCTGAGAAAGGTGTTAGTCTCTCCCGCTCTCAGAGGGACAGACTGAACCCGAGAGAGGTCAGTGACCGCCCCAAACCCATGAAGCCAGTGCAGAGCCAAGTGGACTTGAACCTGAGTCTGCCTTACTCCACCGCAAGGGTCTTCCCTACCATGCCCTTCTGCTTCCGGGCGGGCACAGTTCCAGTAAGGACTTCAGTCACAGAGACAAGGGAGAGGCAGAGGGGCGGGGTGAGGTGAGGGACGTGCCCCTTAAATAAATGGAGGGCAGAATTCTCCAAGCCTCTGAGGGCAGAGGTTGCCCAGTCAGGACTCGGAGCTTCCTCTCCAGATTTCTCACCACCATCCCACTGCCAGCACAGGCCTGCCTGCAGATGGGAGAACTCAGGATGTGACACTGGATAGCTGGGGTTCGAGTCCCCACTCTATCATTTACCAGTGACTGGCCTAATAGAAGTCACTATCTCCCTCTGCCCCTCGATTTTCTCATCTGGAAATGGTGACTCCTGGGCCTCCCAGGACCGAGGGGGCTCCTGGGAGGGCACGTGTGGACGGTACTTTGTAAATGATAAGGCACCATAGAAACACCAGGGTTATTACTGTTTTTCTCTCTGGCTTACTTGGACAGACAAGACAGAAAGCAATCCCAGTCATTCTCAGCACAGCCAAGAGGGGCTGCATTTCAAAAGGAGCCTCACTACCAACCAAAGGGCAAAACAACAAACACAGCTGCCCCCACCCCAGCCCACGAGAGGGTCAGGCGTCTGCAGTTCTGGCCTCTGTGGAGGCCCGGCCCTGCTGCCCCGTGCCCCGGAGGGCAGCCCAGCTCTTCACGCTTCCCATCGCCAGCCAAGCAGATTGCAGACCTTTCCTGGTCAGGCCTCCAAGGGCTCAGAGATCCCTCCCCTCCCCAAGCAGAGAATGGGGTTCCTCGGGGTCCTCCTCACAGCAGGTCGGGACTCGCTCTCGGCTTAATAAAATGCCCAACCCAGTTCCCCCAAACTCTCCCCCACCACGTGCCCATACACGTGTGCACACACACAAACAGACACACTTACACACCAACACATGTCTGGGGAATTCAGGCGCACTTCCTTCCCTTCAGTGGCCTGACAAAACGGTCTCGTAAAACCTACACCAATATAATTTTGTTCAGTAATTCTAATCTGCCAGACCCTCTCCCTATGCCCAGTTGGCTGATAATCCTGCTCCTCAGTATCTCTCCTGATAGCCAACCACAGAATGACATTCTTAGGCAAGACCTTGTACCTCTAGAAAGTTCTTGTTAAATTGGCAGTTTGTTACCTATGAGACAGAATCAGCTATCATGTGTCAGTTTATCAGATGAGCAGTGAACCGGGCCCTGAGAGAAGAGGACACAGGACTGGTGAGTTTTGATGATAGGTTGACTTGAAGAAAACTGGCAAGGACTCTGCACAGAGGAAACCAGTCTAGGTGGGGGGCCCTGGTATGCGTGGGGTGAGACTCAAGGGGAATGTTGGGGTCCAGTCAGATGGCTGGAGGAGGGAGAGCTCTGGACTAGGAGGTGCAAGGCTCTGCCATGTGCCTACGGTGTGATTTTGGGCAGGTTGCTTGGCCTCTCTGAGACTCGGTTTCCTCATTTCACAAGGAGTTGTGAGGAAGTAATGAGACCGTGTCCGGGCAAAGCCTTTGTAAACTGTGAAGGGCCACACCAACGTGCAGGCAAATGAGGGGCTCAGAGGGCGGGGAGAATCGGGAGGTCTGCCTGGCACCGACCCTGCCGCAGGCACTTCTGGTGGCCAGCGGCAGCAGCAGGCTCTGGGCGGAGGGTGGGCAGGAGGGGGCTGCAGGCTGAGCTTCTCCATCCCACCCCAGGAAGGGTCACCCTGTCTAACGTGTCTGAGCGGAAGGACAACATGCGCCTCGGCCTCAGCCTGGCCACCAACCCCAAGGACAACAGCTTCTTGGTAAGAGCCACCCCTACCCTGTCTCCGAGCCCCAGCCCTTCCTGCCCCATGAGCCCTCTGCTTGGGGCCGGGAGAGCTGTGGGGTGATTGAATGCATCCTTACACGCACACTCGGCACTCTACCCACCAGGCTGCCTGTCTACACACGCTCCAGGGAGCAGCTCCTCCCCTAGCTTCCACCTGTGCCATTCTGCCTGCTGTGCCCTAAATTTCTGAGGGGAGGTGTGAGCCCTTTTGTGCGAATACCCTCCAGGGTGAGGGGGGCAGACAGCATGAAAGGAACAGGAATAAATAAAGATAGCCAACAATCCGATGCGGGGCCTATCCCTTCCTTTGGGAAGACAAATTTCCAAGGCAGAGGCTGAATCTCTGCTCCAGGTTCACACCACGCACCCTACAAAGACTTTGAAAGGAAGCCATAAATGAGTGAACACAGGTTTACAACAACTGAGGGAAGGAGTACAGAGTGACAGGCCACCTGGACTGCGCAGGATCAGATGGGAAGGCTCCCCGGAGGAGGTTTCTGTTTTGTTTTTAAAGAAAAGACAGGTCTTAGCAATGAAGAAAGAGGAGGGGGTATTTGGGCTGAGATGGTAGAGACATTCATTCATTTAAACAACAGTTGTTTGGAGGACTCGCAATGTACTGAGCCCAGTGCCAGGCACTAGGGACTCAGTAGTCACCAGAGCTGCTGCCCCCTGGAGCTTGCCTTCTGAGTGGAGAGAGACAGTGAGCAAATGAGTGATGTAACCATGATGTCGGGACAGAAAGGCAGCAGCGGGCTGTGCTGGAAAGTCTCCGTACCCTGCCCAGGCTTTGCACATAGCAGGCAAGCGCGGGTGGCATGATGGTTGGCACTGCCTACTCCTCGCCACCACGTGGGAGTGAACCACCATGAGTTTGGGGATGCTAGGGGTTCAAAATAGGATCCTTCTGATCCTTCTAGTTCCTAGAAACAGCTGTGAGAGGGGATTTCAGAGTAAAATTACCCCCCAGAAAGCCCAATAAAACGCACCACTCATTTTAAGATAGGAGGGCTTGTTCACTCTTTGTTTTTTCCGTCAGTCCATTTCTGTCAACAGATGAGACATCTAGGGTGTAAAGCACCAGATACCGGGGCAGTGAGATGACTAGGATGCTCAGGGACTTGAGGAGAACGGAGTGGCTCTGCCACGGAAAGTCCTGATGTGCCTCGATGTGTGGTCAGCCCACAGCCCTCCATCATCCCCAGCCAAAGGCAAACAGGAGCCCTGGCCCTGTCCACACACATACCTGTCAGGGGCTTTGTTGCTACTCCCTCTTCCCTCTGAGGCTCCTTGTCACATTCCTACTAATTTGATTTCACCCACTTTACAAGGTGGGATGAAGGCCCAAGAGGGATGGTGTGAGATACCCTCTGGGGCTTATGTGGGTAGGTTAAGTCCCTGGTTTATAAATAGCAACTTTTTTAACTCATTGGCCCATCCATTTATTCATTCATTCATCAGTCCATCCCCCAACAAATCATCCATCCCTCCATTTATCTATCCATCCATCCATCCATTCATTCACCCATTCATCAATATATTGGTCCACCTCCTCATCCTCCTATCTAATCATCCATCCTTCCACTCACCCCTCCCTACCTCCCTTCATCATCTGTCCACCCACCTATCCATCCATCCGTCCATCCATCCATCATCTTTCTATCCACCCATCCATCATCCATCCATCCATCATCTTTCTATCCACCCATCCACCAATCCACCTATCATCCATCCATCCCTCCATCTATCCATCCATCCATCCATCTATCCATCCATCCATCCATCATTCATCCATCCATCCATCTATCTATCCATCATCTATCATCTTTCTATCCACTCATCCATCCACCATTCATCCATCCATCTTCTATCCATCCACCCATCCATCCATCATCCATCATCCACGCGTCCATTCTTTATTCTCCCTCTACTTCCAAAAATAATTTACAGCAGCTTCAACGAAGGACACAGATAAAATAAAACCTTTAAAATCTGAGTAAAAAAAAAAAAGACAGGTAATTAAAGGGATTAGAAATAGAATAATTACTCTTCCAACCAGAGGAAATTACAGCACAAAATTTAGTCTTGGGCTTCTTGGCAGCAGGACAAAAATGGAGGCATGGAGCTGGGCTTTCGTTTTTAATGACCGTGACCCTGAGAGGAACTCATCACTCAGTCTTTAAATGAGGCGTCAACATCAGTGTATTTGGTAGCAGAGAAAGAGCAGAGGCGTTCTTTTCTTTCCCTAGTGAGAGCCATGGGCATGTGTTCAGGACCCAGTCCTAGAAATATCCCCAGTAAGGACCTTCAGGTGACCTGTTCAGACAGAGGGGCTATTCTAGTGACGTTGAAGGGTCCACTCCCATGGATGAAAAGGCTTTCCCAGTTCCTGTGTGGGGAGTGGGGTGGGCAGGCGGGGTGAAGGAGAGTCACAACCCAAGATGAGGGGATGGAGAATGGGACCCTTGAAATACAACAAAGGACTCTAAGATGAGTTTTTCTCTATTCCACCTGAAACCAAGGGAACTGATACACCTTGCAGCAAGAGAGAGTTCAGTTAGACTTAAAGAAGACCCTCTAAACCCTGGAGATACTAACACTCAGATAGAGGATGTCTGTCTTGGGTCATGGAGGTTGGGGCTGGACCAAAGGTCGTTGGGCCTGGACCCTCCCTGAGGCCCCCCACAGACTGGTGGTCTGGCTGTGCTTCACAGGCCTGCAGCCCCCTCTGGTCTCACGAGTGCGGGAGCTCCTACTACACCACGGGGATGTGTTCACGAGTCAACTCCAACTTCAGGTTCTCCAAGACCGTGGCCCCAGCTCTCCAAAGTAAGTGCCTTTGAATCTGCAGACTCAGGCTGAGCGGCCAGCAGTCCCTCGGAGGAGGCTCAGGGCTCTGATCCCCACTATCCTGCAGCTACACAGGAGCACCTGGACACTAGCCCCGCCCTGCTCCTGCCCTGTGGGTAACCTGGGACCACTCACTTCACCTCTTTGGGCCTCTGCGGCCCACTCTCTGCCACGGAGCAATGGTGGGGGAAAATGAGCTGAGGTTATGAAGACAATCCCAGCAGCCAGAGAGGCCCACTGCAAACACACCTGAGTGAGGAAGAGGTTGCTGGGCCACCATATATATTAGGCAAGCTGCGCACTGCACTGGGGACATCGTTCACTTAGACTACAATGTGAATGGTGCCCTCTAATGTTATGCAATGCAGTTGTCTATAGGTAGTGGGCCAGGGAGAACAGATATATCCCTGGTAATAGACCCATCAAGCCAGTGTTCCTGGACATCAGGAAGCTCTGCCCAGCTTGCCCAGAACTTCATGGAACACAAAACCTCCCACACACTCCCCACCTGCCAAGAAAATCTGGGGAAATAACGCTCAGACCTTGCCTCCGGCGAGCCCAGACTGCTTGGCTGCGAGCCTATTTCCTCTGGGCTGAACACCATCGCCAAGCAGCTGCTGCCCGTTTTATTGAGGGTGAGGGGATTAGCACTCCAGCTAGCTGGCAGCCTCCCTCCAAACAACAGGGCCATCTCTGACTGGCGTCAGAGATGGAAAGATGGTACTTGGGGGAGGAAGGAGGATGCCTCAGTCCAGCAGAGGCTGGAAAGTGGTCCTCTTATGGTGACGAGGAGGTGTTATTCTATTCACACTAAATGGCAGAGGGAAAGACAGTGCTGGGGCCCAGGAAGAGCCCCAAGGTGGGTCACCCCCCGCCCCCAGGGCTGCTCTTGCCTCTGGGCCAAGGTGTGACCATCTCAGCCTCCCAGAACCTCCTGTGGTGGAGGCTTCCTCACCTGGCTGACCAGCAGCAGTGCCCCAGGAGCTCATTGGATACAGATTCCAGGGCACTCCCCCTGGAGGTTCTAGTTCAACAGGTCTGTGATAAGCCCCGGGGTGTGTGTGTGCGTGTGTTTCAGTGGGATGTTCAGCCATGTTTAGGAAGCACAGACCTAAAGCAAAATTCTTCCCAAGGTGTCTTAAAAAGAAATATTTGAGGGGCCAGCCCGGTTGGCATAGTGGTTAAGTTCACACGTTCTGCTTTGGCACCCTGGGGTTCGTGGGTTCGGATCCTGGGCTCGGACCTATGCACGGCTCATCAAGCCATGCTGTGGTGGCGTCCCACATACAAAATAGAGGAGGATGGGCACAGATGTTAGCTCAGGGCCAATCTTTCTCACCAAAAAAAAAAAAAAAAAAGAAAGAAAACTTTGAAATTGTAAGAAAGAAATCAGCAATAATAAATGCCTTCTAATGATAAAACTAGCTTAAAATAAAAGAAACCTGGTGCCTATCACTAGACTGGAAACTCCTCCCAATCAAGAAGTTTCTGGTGGCCGGCCAGGTGGCGCAAGCGGTTAAATGCACGCACTCTGCCGAGGCGGCCCGGGGTTCGCCGGTTCGGATCCCAGGCGCGCACCAGTGCACCACTTGTCTGGCCATGCTGTGACAGGCGTCCCATATAAAGTGGAGGAAGATGGACATGGATGTTAGCCCAGTGGCAGTCTTCCTCACAAAAAAAAAAAAAAGAAGTTTCTGTCACGGTCACCTCCGTGGTCACCCACACCACGCAGCGCCCACTGTTGAGCTAAAGCACACTGGGAAAGGACAAAGCTATCAGGCGCTGTCAGCCCAGAAGCGTCAGGCCATCACGTGCTGTACACAGCATGCAATTGGGACAGAAATGTCTACACAGCTTCTCCTAAAGCGGAGGTGACTCCGAGCATCGAATCGCCCAAACTCTTCTAAAACACGGTCTCAAATGCGAAGCCTGCGACGGGCCCCTGGGCTCAAAGCCACCCGCCTTCCTCTCTCTGTGAGCACTGAGTTCAGCATGCTGCACCTTCACGATGCAGGAGTTCCTGGGATGGTTCACACACAAAAGGCTTCAGCCTTATGGCTGTTAAGTAGCTTTTATAACAGTGTGAAAATTCTCTAGTAAAAATAAGCAGATGCCAGATATTTCAATATAATATGATGTAATATAATACAAAAGAGCATATTTCAAAGAAACCCTAACTGTTCACAAACAGAAATTACTTAGATTTTAAGTTTGTTACATTTCTTATAGTACCAATGTTTCTTTAGTTTTCTTTGTTGATTTTTATTATTCATTTTAATTTCGTATTAATATTATGAGACTATAGAGAAAACTTTATATTCAGAGCAGAAATAAAGGGATGAGAGCTCGACCTGATGATGTGATCATCACACTAACAAAGTGGTTTGCTTAAAAAAGTGAAAATAGGATCAGCTAAGACTTGTTGAGCACGTGCTTTGTGCCCAGCCATATGGAAGCATGATCCTGTGGATTCCTCACGGCAGCCCTCTACTGTCACCAGGCCTGTTTTACAGATGAGAAAACAGATGCTGAGAGGTTCCGTGACTTGCCCAAGGTCAAAGCCAAGAATCAAACATTATAATTCCAGATTCTGCATTCCTAGCCATTACACCACACTGCCTCCCTAAAAAGTGAAAGCCATCCCTGCGGGCTGAAAGTAGTAAGTGCCAGCCTGCCCGTTTCAGTAAAACAAGTGATAAAGAGAGGCTGATTTGGGCAGTGTTGGCTGCCTCGGAAACACTGACCAGCTGACAGTGGTCAGTGCATGAGAAGGAGCAGAGGGGGTCAGGCTTAATCTAAGCTTTGTTCACATGGCCAGCACAGAGAGGTGGAGCCGAGCCAGGAATTCTTGGGCTCATCATTCACGTTGCCCAAATAAATGTCCAGCCCAAGGATGGCCCCCAGCCCAGGAATTACACACATGTAATTATATACATATGACAGAGTCCTTCTTCTAGTGTCTTTTGGACAAAGAACTGGAGAATCAGAAACTTGCAGACACTGGGCCCTTGGGTAGCCGTGACCATGTCCCCACTTCCCAGGGTGCCAGACCTACATGGACATCGTCATTGTCCTGGATGGCTCCAACAGCATCTACCCCTGGGTGGAGGTCCAGCACTTCCTCATCAACATCCTGAAGAAGTTTTACATCGGCCCTGGGCAGATCCAGGTGAGCATCTCTGGGACTGTTTCCTCCTCCCAACAGATGGTAGATGTAGATGCTGCCTTGGGGTGCAGGGGAGCATCTCTGCATGCACTAAGAAGTTGTAGGTGGAAGGGTCAGCACCAGGGCCCTGCAGCCCAAGACACTCATCTCTGCTGGGCACATCAAGGGACAATCTGGGGGAGGCCTCACCTCGAGGGTCAAACATTGTCTTCTGGGAGAGATGCCACCTATTAAGAAAAACTTTGACCAGCTAGAGAGTGAGAAGGAAGGCAGGAAAGGTTGAGTAGGCACTAGAATCCTGCCGAGTGGGACACAGGGGAGCATTAGACACATTAATCTTGGAGAGAAGACTGGGGAGGAGGTCACAGCTGCCAGCACATATTTGAAACGCTGCCTGGCTGAAGAGCGGGTAGATTTATTCCATATTGTTTTGGTAGGCCAAATGAGGACCAATAATTGGAAGTTACAAGGTGGCAGATTTTAAGTCAATCTAAGAAATTATTTTGTAACAACTAGAGCTGGTAAAAGGGAGTGGGCTTTCTCATGAAGTGGTGGACTTTCCCACCACCAGAAGAGCATCTTTTAGGGTATTGTGGGTGAAAGTCCAGCATTAGAAAGGCACCAAATAAACTCGGCAGGCTCATCCAACAGTAACATTTTATCATTCTAGTGCTACTGTAGGTCTTTAGGGTTTTTTGTTTATTTTGAGGCTATTAATATATGTCAATATTTTATCAACCTTGGGGATAAAAAAACCTCTTCTCTGTTCCAGAGTTTGGTGAACAGTGCCATGCCCCCCACCCATGCCATTCATAATATTTTAGACTTCAATTCTATGCTCAACTTTTGTCTTTTTAAGTAAGAAACTTAATCTGTGGGCCTTTCTTTAAATCACAGTCTCCTGTCTCCATATGCATCTTCCACTTGCCTCACCAACCCATCCATTCATTCCCAGAACTTTGCAGAACCTCTTCCCTTCAGCTTAGTTGCTCTCCCTTGGGACATCCTCAGCCCTCCTCACTCCTGAACTGTCACAGATAGAGAGATGACCCAGGGGGCCTCACCGCCACAGGTCTAGGTGTTGGGGGTTGAGATGTTCTGTCGCCCTCTCCTCTAACTTGCAGGTTGGAGTGGTTCAGTATGGAGAAGACGTGGTACATGAATTTCACCTCAATGACTACAGGTCTGTAAGAGATGTGGTGGAAGCAGCCAGCCACATTGAGCAGAGGGGAGGAACAGAGACCCGGACGGCGTTTGGCATCGAATTTGCTCGGTAAAAAAAAAATTAAATGTTTTTAAATCTCAGATACCATTCTAGTTATATATGGCTATGTAACAAACCCCCACAAAATTTAGGACCTTGAGACAATAATTGATTAATCCCTCAAAGTTCTGGGGTTTGGCTGGGCTCAGCTGGTCAATTCTCTCTTGGATTTTCGCATGTGGTTGAAATCTGGTGTCAGCTGGGGCTGTTGTCATCTGAGGATCTGACTGGGCTGGACATTCAAAATGACACACTCCTGTGGCTGGCAATTGATGCTGGCTGTTGACTGAGAACTCAGCTGGGGCTGATGACATGAGCACCCACATGTGGCCACGTGGCTCGGTTTTCTCACAGCATGACAGCTGGACTCTGAGAGGGAGCATCCCAAGAGTGAACTTTCCAAGAGACCCACGCAGGAACTCCAAGACTGCCTATGCCCTAGCCCCAAATGTCCAGGAAAAAACTTCTGCCATATTGTATTGGGAAGCAGGTCACTACAGCCAGCCTAGATTCAAGGGGAAGAGAGTTTGATTCTGCCTCTTGATGGAGGAATGGCAAGGTCTCATTGCAGAAAAGCATTTGGAGTGGGGGCTATTATTACAGCCAACTCTGCAAAATGTGTTCTGCCACAGAGACCCTATAAAAAGTGGAGGTTCTTTGATTGCAGAGTCTTCCTGTTGAGAGTTTGTCATCAATGGAGTATGAAGAACATAGTTAAATCTAACCTCTGAGATTGTAGAGTAAGGAGGCTGGTTCCTTAAAAATCACCCCAGAACTCACTCATGATGACAATGAAGGCTGTCTCTCGTCGTCGTCCACCACAAGACAGCCATGTGCTTATTCCAGTAACACTGCCACTGCTCAGAACACTGTGCTCGCCCCCTCTGAAATCAGTGAGTGATTTTAAAGGCAACTCCCCGAGATTTTTCAAGCTAAGGCCTAAACTCCTGTGATGACTACATCCAGGGCATTTAGGTTTTAGATGTATAAATTTTACACCTACAAATATGAGTTCTGCTATGTTCATTGAGACCACAGTCCCATTACCTTATAATCCCACCTCACATAGGGTTAGTCAATGTGTTTAACAGAATTCCATGATGTAGTAACATGATTTCGCGTGGTCAAAACATTAAGTTTTGTCCAACCTCACAACTCTTTATGATTAAGTTACTGCTCCACTAACGTATTTTTGTTTGCCGAAAAAAGCTCAAGCTTTTTTCCTAAATGAGCCTTCCTCTGTGTGAAGATGGCTCTTACTCATCCTCACGAGGAACGGGCCACTTTGCTGTTTCCTCATCATCAGGCTGGGCCCCTGAGACCCCCCAGCAGGCCCTTGTGAAATGGCTGGGGCAACGGAGGGAAGCCGGTGCCCACCGAGCTATCACTTCCTCAGTGGGAAGCTAACTGACTCAAACAGGGATGGAGCCCATGTTTCCGTCTCATTTCGCAGCCTGCCAACCCCGGGTCAGTTACACGTGTGTGACTCACAGGCACCTCTGGGGTGTGCAATCTGCACCTCAGGTGAGGTTTGAAATCTGATCTTCCCAGCCTGCCAAGTTTGGGTCCCAAATCACACCCAGTGCTTTTTAAGGTAAAAGGTTTTCTCTCCTCACTCAGTTATTCATAATGCATTTTTTTTCTGTGCACCCACTAAAGTACAAAGATCCAGGCCATGGATTTGAGGGGTTACAAAGATGGTAACCTGTAGCCCCCCGCCCGGCAGGGGACCTCTGATAAGCATCAGCCTAATTCCATGAGGATGAGAGGGGGAGGGCTCCAAGGGAGGGCCGGGAAGGACTGTCAAGACAGGGTGGCATTTGACCTGTCCTGGGAAGACCCGAGGATTCCAGCAGGGAGAGGTAGAGAGAAGACATTCCACAGAAGACATTCTGCCCTGGAAAGGGCCAAGGAGAGGGGAAGTCGAGGGACGTTTATATTCATGCTCTGACCATGGCACAGGGTTCATGTTGGGGCCAGTGAGCCAGCTGCAAACACGGCTTGGAGCCAGACTGTGAGGGTGATAATGCTGTAGCTAAAACAAGCGTGAGTGGCCACTGAAGGTTCTTGGGGACGAGAGTTATTGTCAGATGTGCACGTGAAGGTGAATCTGGTGGCCAGGTATGGCTTGGGAGTGGGGTGGGGGGGCAGGTGCAGGGACAATGGTGTGATTCCGTCTTAGTTCATGCAACACTTTTTATTGAGCACCTACTACATGCCTCACACTAGGAAGAGATCCATGAACAAAACAGATAAATGTCTTGCCCTCATGGAGCTGACATTCTAGAGGGTGAGGCAGACAATAAACAAAAAAAACAAATAAATAACATAGATGCTAGGGGGGAAAAATCAAGCATAGTAAAGGCACTCAAGCAGATTGGAGAGGGCAGCTGTTTCATCGGCATTAACAGAGTAGTTAGGGAAGGCTGCCCCGAGAGCTGACGTTTGAGTGGAGGCTTGAAGCACGTGAGGAAGTTGGCCAAGCAGATCCAGGGGGAGCGTTCCAGGAGAAGGGGCAGCAGACAAAGGCCCTAAGACAGGAGGGTGCCCGGTAGTGGGTGGAGGGAGCGAGCCGGAGGAGGGGCACAGAGGGATGGCGGGCCAGATCACAAAGGGTCTGGTGGGCCATTGTCAGAACCTGAGAGAAATGGGAGCCAGTGCAGGTTTTAAGCAGAAAGGAGACACGATGTGACCTAATTTCTCACGGGATCGCTCTGGCTTCCAGGTTCCCAGAAGCTGCTGTGAGTATAAAGCTCTCACTGCTCTCAAGGAACTTATAATCTGTTTACAAGGGAACAAATCCAAGTCTTTTACACAATACAAAATCACGACTTTAAATCTAATGATGCATGCCAATATTTACCCTGTTACAGATTCATACAGATATTCACACTCTTCCGCTATTGGGAAATATGATCCTGAAATTTTTCTTGACTCCATATATGACAAAACCTGTTTTTTCTCTGCCATATTTTTTTGCGTGGAGTTTTGTTCCTGGGCCTGGCCCTCCCTCCAATGAGGTCATGGAAGCATCTAGAATCTCCTTTGAGGGACTAGCAGAGTTCTCCCTTCACTGGGTCAGGCTTCAGCCCAAAATCTGCTCTAGTCATATCGAGTGTGCCTCTGCCCTGCTTCAATCCACAGCTCATACTAAAATTAGAGGGTTTTTTAAAGTCAGCGTATCCAATATATCATAGAGTTGCTAAGAGAATGGCAGATGGTCTGTTTCTCCTAAGTGGTAGCTTGAAGACTCTCTGCACTAATTTATTCCACATTCTGTGAATTCCTCAACATCTAAATCATGCACATCAGCCCATCAGCTGAGATACCTTGGTAACCCAAGCCTTTGGGCCTGGAGACGGGCTTTAACCTGGCAATGGGGAGCTTAGATCTATGCGTCAGACCGGGGAGAAATCACTGCGGAGTCTAAGGGTAACATTTATTTTTATATCCTTATTGGAAAATTCTACCCGCTGGGCCAGACTGTTGGGCCAGACCATGTCCGTCCTTCTCAGAACCTCACGGTCTAAAGGAGGGTTGGCCACAGAGGCGCTGAGAGCCAGTGATGGCTCACGAGCCAGTTTTCCGTGCTTCACAGACAGGTTGCCAGCTGCACAAGCCTCTCCACAGCGTCGAGGGTCAGCGTGCCAGCCCCCCGTCCCCTGGCTGGATTGCCCAACAGACAGGCCAAGCACCTGCTCTGGGCACTGAAAACAAAATAAAAAGCAAGAAAGAGGAATATTTGTCACAGAATTTGATATTTAATAGTTCCCAAAATAGAACCAAAGTAGTCCTCCTGGGAAAAATCAGAACTCTGTCAGGCTTCATCCGTCTGTTTTATGGATTAGTGCTGTTGGAATTACTCTGGCGCATCAATTTTTCAGTACTTGGGGAAGTGGTTCCCAACTCTGATGTTCATTAGAACTTTTCAAAAATACTGATGCCCAGGCCATACCCCGGAGATTCGGATTTCATGAGTCCAGGTGGGGCCTGGACATCTCATTTTTTTAATTTCCCAGGAGATTCTAATGTGCAGCTGGGTGTTTGAACTGGTAACTTAGGTCTTCTAAAGATCTCCATCTGACCCTGAACCCTCCCAGGTCTACTCCGTTCCCTCTGCTTGCCCAAAATAGCAAGGTCAGGACCCTAGAGGGGCTTTTTAAAGTCACTTTCTAAAGACAAACAGATGCAAGACCCGTCTGAGCAGGTGGTGAACGGCAGTCTGGGTACCTCAATCCAGCTGCTTCTTTGGTTTGAGGTCTCAGCACCTGTTGGGTTCTCTGGGGCACTCGGTCCTGGCTTCTGTGGCTGCCCCGTGCCCATCTCCCTCTTGTGACCCTTCCCTTGTGCTCGGGTTCCAGCTCAGAGGCTTTCCAGAAGGGCGGAAGGAAAGGGGCCAAGAAGGTGATGATTGTCATCACCGATGGGGAGTCCCACGACAGCCCGGACCTGGAGAAGGTGATCCAGCAAAGCGAGAGGGACAACGTGACCAGATACGCTGTGGCCGTGAGTCCTGTCTCGCCCTTCCTGCCCCCTGCTCCTGCCCAAGGGCTGCCAGCTACCTTCTGGAGTCTTTGCCACCAAACCCCTGGGGTTTCTGGGCAGTGAACAACTACCCAGGCCCTCAAATGGGCCTCTCCTGTTTCATCCTCTCCTGAAGAGCAAGTTAAGCATCTTCTGTCTGCACTGCCCAAGCCTATCCACAACAGTTGTGGGGTTGTTTTTCCCTCCATTGCCAGGGAGGTTCTGAAACCTCAGAAAACTAGAAAACACCCCCATCCCAAGCCCAGAACCCTATCTCAGAACAGGGGTCTTATCTGGCCCCTACAAGAGAATCTTTTTCAAAATGCAAATGGCACTTTGGCTTATGCTCAAGGCTACCAAAACAGAGGCTCCAGCCGGCCCGGGGGCCCCGGGGTCAGGGGTCGTGGGGTGTGCAGGGAGGTCTGTGCTATGTCCTGGTTTGTCGCCCCTGCCCCTATTTCCTGGCAGGTCCTGGGCTACTACAACCGCAGGGGGATCAATCCAGAAACTTTTCTAAACGAAATCAAATACATCGCCAGTGACCCCGATGACAAGCACTTCTTCAACGTCACTGACGAGGCGGCCCTGAAGGACATTGTCGATGCCCTGGGGGACAGGATCTTCAGCTTGGAAGGTGAGTGATGCATGCCGAGAGAGGTCCACGCTCCCGGGCTCCCCTCCGGTGAAGCCCACAGAGCAAAATCCAACCCCACAGGATGGAATGAGTTAGCGGGAGTCCTCCCTCATGATAACTGCCGACCCGTGAGTGTCACTGTGCTAGCCGCGAGGCTGCGCACTTCATGAACAGCCCCGGAAGGTGATTTTGCTGCTAGTCTCCTCTTTTACTCCTGAGAAAACTGAAGCTCGAAGGAGCTAAGTGACTTGCCAGAGCTCCTGCAGCTTGGAAAGGAGTTGGAGTTGGAACGAGTGTTGCCAGATTTAGCAAATATAAAATACGATATTTGTGGCAGACTTACACTAAAAAAGTATTCATTGTTTGTCTGAAATTCACATTTAGCTGAGTGTCCTGTATTTCATGTGGCAACTCTAGTTTCAATCCAGCTGAGCCTGACTCCACAGCCTGAAACACTTAACCCCCGAGTCCCACTGCCTCCCACGCCCCCAAAAGTACTTTCTGCAGGGTCCCTGCAGATTGCCTCTCTCCTTACGATGTCAACTCCAGTTTTGATTTGCACAGATCTGATTTGCATCATGCATTGCTATAGACGGCCCTTCTTATACTGGGCTTTGCCATATGGGACGATTGTCAGAAGAGACAGAAGGTGGTGTCCCAAAGCCTGAGCAGTCTGCAGCGCATTGGAAATGACGAGCTACAGACACATAAAAAGAGACAAAACCACCCTCATAAACGAGGACAAAGGAATAGAAAGTGTGAGCCTGAGTTTTGACACAGTAGAACTTAAATATCCAAATCAGTGTTATTTCTCCTCTAAATGGTCTCCCTGGGTGACGAGAACTTTGGCTCCAATGACACGTTCCAGGGGGCCCTCTGTGGGGAGGGGCTTTCGGCACACATGGGATTTCTTGTGCAAATCTGCGGTGGTGACAAGTCCCCCTCCTGAGGGTCTGTTTGATGTTTGGGAACCATCCAGAGGCATCTGGAACCAAATCTGCTGAATAATAGGAATAAACAAAGTGGGAAATTCTATTTCTTGCCAAAAATGTAGACTATTTCTTTCCACGCACTTTTCTGGGTCTTTCCCCTATTTTGACAGTCTTAGAGTACAGTATACATGCCCTGTAATATAAATTGGCCCTTTCCCCTATTTTGACAGTCTTCGAGTATAGGATACATGCCCTGTAATATAAGTTGGCCCCAGCCCTTTTCAGCCGTGAGTGGCCTACTACTAATAAACCTGGAAGGTCTTGGCACCTCCCTTTGCAGGGTGCCTGCTGCTGGGAGCAGACGAGGCTGGACTCAGACTCAGGCCCCGTCACCTCCCTGAAGGTGCCCTGGGGACACAGGCGCTGGGGACTGAGCTGCAGGCGTGTCTGGAGCTCAGCATCAGGCACAGAGCTGACATCCTTCTGTCCCTCTGCTTTAGGCACCAACAAGAATGAAACCTCCTTCGGGCTGGAGATGTCACAGACAGGCTTTTCCTCTCACGTGGTGGAGGTACGTGCGGGTTAGAGCTGCCCTCCCACACACCCACTCTTCCCAGTTCTCTACATGGTCATCCTGCCTTTCCTGGGCTCTCTCTCCTCCCCCTTTCTCTCTTTCTTGGGGTCTCTCTGCCTCCCATCTTCTGTGGCTGGAAGAGAGAAGTCAAGGTCTTCAACTTATAATAAGTTGTCCCGAGCCCCTTTGAGCAGGGTGTGGGCTACAAATAATAAGCCCACACACCCACCTGGAAGGTGCTTGGTGACCTCTCTGTGCAGGATGCTGAGGGGGCATTTCCCCCCAGGGTACCCTTCAGTCACAGAGCTTTGTGCAGAAACTAGGTCAACGTGGCAAAACCAATCGCATGCACTCTACTAGTGCCCGTGTGTGCCCGAGGCGGCTTGTGCGTGCAGGGGCACGGCACGGTGTTGATGTTGGGAGGCTGTCCAGGTGTTCCAGATGTGCTTTGGCACATGGCCCTCATGAGCCCCCTCTCTGTACAGACTCGGCGTCAGATTGCAGAGGTCCCAGGAGGGCACATGGTGTCACAAGCAGCATGTCGTATCTGGGGCTCTGCGTTGCAGGCCCAGAGCCTCAGGCTGCCACTCGCCCTTCACTTCACCTGGTTCTGATTGCCAGAGGGGCAGAGGAGTTGATACCTGTGAAAGAGCTTTATAAACCTTTTGGGAGGAGAAGCCATGCCTGGGAGCACCATGTGGGGAAAGCCCGTATGTTCCAGTATCAGCATGTGCCCCTATGGGCACACTTTAGACAGAGAGGTGTCCTAGGTGTTCTGCCTGGGCTGGCACCACGAGGGTGTACTTATGCCTCCTAATTTGCCAGAAAAGGCCTATTAGTCCATCCGACTTATATATCACCTTCATTATCCCATCAAATTTTCCCATCTCCTTGGTGAGGTGGATAGGGCAGGATTCCTTGTTCCCAGTTTCCAGGTAAAGAAACCGAGTCATGGAAAGGTTGAGTGACCTGCAGAAGTGACACATGTGAGAGAAATATTAGTCTCATGCTGTTCCCCCCACACCGAGCAGCTGCTCCATGAGAGAGTATGGAATCCAAGGGGGTCTGAGTCAGAAATCCCAAATTGGAGTAGGGGGGACATATGCACAACAGGCAGCAAGCAGATGGATGGAAACTCGACTCACACTCAGCTTTTCGGCAGCTGCATCTGGACAATCTCATGCCCACTTGAATACAGCAAGATAGAAACGTAACTGCCCTATAATAATAGCAGTCATGTTAGATGCCCCGGGCACTTTAAATTTTTCCAGGGAATTCCTGCCCCTCATTTCATGCTCAGCACAGCCCTGCAAGGTCAGCAGGTGGTAACGGTTGTCCCAGCAAATGTTTTCAGTGCCTTCTCTGTGCTGGGCCCTGTGCTGGACCCCGGGAGAGGTGGGAGCCCTGCCCTCAAGATGCTTATAGTCCAAGGGTAAGGAGCCGGGCACAAGGAGAGACAAGGGCATCCACTCAAACGAGATCAGGAAGCGAGTCATGTGCTAGCCCCAGTCTCCTGACTCTGGGGTCAGAGCTGATTAGAAAATGCAACAAGGAAACTCAATTTAATTAAATCCAACAAGCATTTGCCAAATGAGACCAAGCTTATTCCAGGTCAATGTGACTGGAAATTGTTCTTGCCACCAGGAGTCAATTTGCAAACAATCTGGAACAGCAGTCTTCAGCTTTGAGGGTAGGATGAAAGAAAGGATAGATTGCTCCTAGGTAAAAGTGTGTAACTTCAGGAGGCCCCCATCCCTGGAGCCCCCGGGAAGACCCCGTGCTCAGTGGGGGAACCAGAGGCACACATCTAATGCTAATCAAGGCAGCCTGTGATCAGGGTCCTAGAGAAGGAAAGGCCCAGGCTAGGGGAGGGGGCGTCCAGGGGAGGATCTAGGGAGGGGCTGGCACTTGGGCAGGCCCCTAAGGACGAGGATTTCTGCAGCCACAGGTGGCAGCGAGCAGGAGAACAGAGAAAGTGGTGTGCACAACACTGGGGGAAATCTGAGCCCGCACCAGGGGCCAGCCCTGATGTCGGGGACAGTGAGAGAGGATGAATGTCCCAATCTCTCCTTCGTCCATTCCACGATCATTTTTTGAGCATCTTCTTGCGTATGAGGCTCTGTACTGGGCACTAGGGATATATAAATAGATAGAGATTAAGGTAATGTTTCAGCTGACAGCAGCTCATAGTCTAGTTAGGGAGAAAGACTCATAGATGATAAGTTCACTCTCCTGCTTCTAATACCATGATCTGTGTGTGCCTGGGGAATCAGGAAACCTGAAGAGAAGGGGAGGTTAAGCCAAGCTTCAGGTATTCGGGGAGGTTTGAGCTGAACCCTGAATATGACCCAAGCGGCTCAGTGTGTCAAGCAAGATAAGTCCTTGCAGGATCAACAGCTTCCCCCACTGTGGGGGAAACCAGGAGCTCAGAGCCCCCGCTTGTTGTTTAGGTCAAGGTCACGCACTGCCCTGTGCAGCCCCTTCCACATATGCTCAGCTCTTTTTCTGTTCCCCTAATCAGAGAGACCCAGCCTGCCTCTCCCCATCCTGTAGATACAGCCCCCAGTTCTTCTAACACCCCCGAGTCTTGTTTTCAAGGGACAGGCATCTGGAAGTTTTTATCTGATAGGACTTTTAAAGAGATGATGATTACATTTGAATTTGAGACTCTTTAATACTTAAAAAAACAAAAACAAAAAACTTGCCAAATCGAAAGGAATGGTGCGATGATGGTGGGCTGTCTAGTGCTGTGACCGGCCATTAGGGTGCTATTTTAGAGCACGGAGGTTTTCCAATGCCGGCCACTGATGCCATCGTAATCGGCCACAGCTGTCCTGTCCCTGGGAAGCCAGCTCAGCGGCTCTCAGGGTCAGTCAGACCTCTCTGGGGGTCAGCAGCTTCGCCCAGAGCAGGTCCTAAACTCAGTGAGTCCATCGCCTGGGAGAGCACCCAGGCTCCATTTCCCCCAGAAGTGCTCCCCAGACGGCCTCAGACAGCTGCTTCCTGCGAATGTGCTGAAGGAGCCATCAGCAGCCCTGGGCCTGTTTAGTTGTGTCAGAAGGAAAGGTCTCTAGTCCTTGGGAGGGACCCGGTAGAATGCTCTCAAATGGCAGAGGAAAGGCCCAGTGGCTTATCACCTGGTCTGCTGCCATGTCTCTAGTAAGGAAACCAGACTTCGAGTTAGGGAGGGTAAAAGCAACAAGGGGAAGGAGGGGCCAGAGCCCAGGGAGGAGAGGAGACCCCAAGACATCACCTGGCCACCCAAAGAGCCCAAGGCCCCAGGCCGCAGGAGGTGCATCCCAGGCTGATGGCCAAAGGTCTTCTCCTAGGGATCTGGAGCCACCCCAGGGAACTCTAGTCTTGATTTACAAAAAAGGGAAAGAGAATATTCTGGAAATTACCATCAGGAAGACCAGCTATTTGATCCCTGGTCAAATTCTAGAATGGATTTTTAAGCCAGCGGTTCCATTAGCATTTGGAAATGGATGCAAATGTCACTAATAGCTGGAGTGGCTTCTGTTAGTGCTGGCCGCCTGCTGAGGTGGTGAACTCCCTGTCAAGCTGGCTAATCAAGAAGAAGCTGCATGAATCTGCCAGAAAGCTTGCAGAAGGGATCCATCCCTCCCAGAGGGACATAGGCTCTAAGAGTCTCTAATCCCCACGGGCCACGAGGGAAAGGTGTGGAGGAGGGAAGAGGCCCATAGATAACTGATGCCCCCTGGTGACGGATGGAGCTGCTGGGGAGCTCCTCCTACACGAGGGCTCAGCGGAGGAATTCCCACGGACCTCCTACTCTGCAGTCCATAAATCTCCCCCAACACCAAAAGTTTACAGGAAGAAGCAGTTTTATTAGGGCAGATCCTGTCTACACAGAATCCTTAGTGACTCACCCGCGATGGGAAATCATTTTTCCTTTAACCGACGCGTGATGATCCAGCAGGACCAGCCCCCGACTGCATTTGAAACAGGCCAAAGTGGGGAGCCTCCTACCTCCCAGCCCGGCTGCCTCTTCAGCCTGTGTGCATCTCACAGGCCATCCTGGTGTTGTGGACTGGACAGCTAAGGTTATTGGCTATTATCTAAGGTGTTTAGCTGTTGAAGCCTTAAAGCTATAATTTTTCCTAAGAGGTTTGCATTTGAACTAGTTTTGCGTATTTGATTCAATCAAAAATGAAAGAAATTAATCCATAATGGAGAAATAAGGAGTTGATACCCAGAGGCTGTAAAGCCCTCCTGAGCCTCCCAGGCCCTAAATGGTGGACTCTTCTACCTGCCAGCTAGGGCAGGCGCTCAGGGCTGTGCAAAGCCCCAGCCCGTGAGGCCAGGACACGGTAGCCAAGGTCTGCCAGCATGCTGTTCCAGATCGTTTGCAGGTTGACTCCTGGTGGCCAGAGGCATTTCTGGTTCATTGGGGTCCTCCTAAGCCCGGCCCTGTGTCCGCAGGCTATGCCCTGGTGCCCAGCGCCCCAACCCTGGGCCTCTTTCCCAGGACCTCTGAGCAGAGACAACCGACCCTCTGATCTGAAATGAACAGTCAGGTACAGTGTGCCCCATGCCCACCACTCCCATCCCCGCCACCCCGGCCATCGGCCTCCAGCAGCGTGCACGGGGCCGGTCTCCTCTCCACAGCAAGGCTGAAGGCCCATTTCCGGTCTTTCCTGCTCAACCCCGTCTAGACCTCTTGGCACTCATCCCTTCCTAGGCTTGTTGAAAACAAGTCTTCTAATGACAGAATCGAGCGACTAGTTGAAGCATAATCCACCCTCTTACTGATGTATTTGCCTTAGAAAAGGCTCTCGGGAACAGAGTCTTGCCCCCTTTACAGTCGCTCTGAAGATGGACATGCAGGTACTAGGGAGCCATAGGAGCCTGGGGGTGGAGAACAGCCCTCCAAGTGGTCTCCCTGCACGCCAGCACACAGGACCACCAGCGGCCACCTCCACCTGCCTCCACAGGCCGGCCTCTCCAATGCCAAAAGGACTTGCTGGCATCGGGTATTCTAATTCCTTACTGCCAGGCAAGAGGAAAGCACTGCCTGGCTGTGTGACCTCAGACAAATCATTTGACTGTGAGCTCTGATTCTTCTGTCTCTTGCCTCCCTGGAAGTGCTTTACGGGTGAATTAGTGACTTTATGGATAAAAAGCTACTATGTACCAAGTCCTAATTGGCTGCCAAGCACCATGCTAAGAATTAAAAGTGCTAATTCTTATGACAAAAACTGTTTACAGCTGAAGAACTTAAGGCTCAGGGAGAGCGAGAAATTTGCCCAAGGTCACAGAGCTAGAAGCTCTGGAGATAGAACTGGAACGCGCGACTGTCTGAGTCCAGAGCTCATGCTCTAACCATCAGGCCAGGGATTCTCACCCTCGGCCCTGTTGACAATGCAGGTGGATAATTCTTTGCTGGGGGCTGTCCTGTGGGCTGCAGGTGTTCAGTAGTATGCCTGGCCTCCACCCACCAAGTGCCATAGCAACCTCACCACCACCCCCAAGTGTGACCACCAGAACTGTTTCCAGGCAGTGCCAAATCTTGCCTGGGGGGTTGAACCGCCCCAGCTGGGAACCACCACCCTAGACTACGCTGCTTCCAGCGCTGGGGATGTGGCCCGACCCTGCCTGGGGCCATGGACCGGCTGGAACACAGAGTTTGGGGAGAAGTGGTCACAAGCCCAGGGAGCGTTCAGCTGTGCCAGGAAGGCAAGACTGCTGCCGGAGCCAGGTCAGAGGGCAACCAAGAGCTGAGCTGGCAGGATCTGACAGTGGGCGCTACACGGGCGAGGAGGGGTACAGGGCACGGACTTGGCCTCGGACCGTCTGAGGATCTCAAAGTCTGAGTCATCTCTGCACAGAGCGCCAGGAAAGTCAGCTTGTACAAGGGTCCATCTGTGCAAGGCCACCCAGGCACACCCTGGTAATAGCTGGGGGGAGCCCGGGTGGCCCCGTAGGAAAGGAGGCCATAAGTCAGGAGCCGGTGCCAGGCCTGGAGTGAGGGACGCGGCTCTTCCCCGGAATGCTCTGCTGCGTGTTTCCCAGCTGGGCCTGCATGCCTGGCTCCTTCTGGCAAGGCTCGGGCCCTTTTTACGGCCCTGCCCTACCAGATTTTTTCCAAACTCAAAACGAGGGGCTCCCCCAGCTGGGAAAAGCTGGCTACTCCTCTCAGCCAGCCCACTCCTCACAGTGCACCCCGTCCTCGGTGGGCTCTCCCCGGCCCCCACAGACCCCTGTCAGGAAGGGGCCTCACATTAGGAGCCCAAGCCTGCAGCCATGGCAGGGTACAGTGACACAAGGTGAGAGCCCGTGAGTGACCACCCAGCTCAGCGCTGCCAAATCCAGAGCCCCACATACGGCGAGTCAGCGTCAGCTCTCCACAGCCAAATCCCCGGCACCTGGGCTGAGCCAGCCCTTCTCAGTACATCAGAGGCTTCCGGTCATCTGCAAAGCCAAAAATGCATCTTCAAAGGCCTCTCTGGGAAGCAAAGAAGCCTGGTCTGCAGTTGCAAACTTGAACTTAGCAGATGGAGAGAGAGAGGAAAGGGAGAGAGAGGTGCAGCTCAAACGTCGCACTCCTCCTCGAGGGGGGCTCCGGTGGAAACTGAAGCAGAATCCAGGGGCTTCTGGAAAGCAGATGGGTGTCTTCTCCTCTCTTCAACCCACCTCCCTGATCAAAGTCCCAGTGTGCTGCCTCTGACTTGCTGTGTGACCTTGAGCAAGTCCCTTTCCCTCTCTGAACCTCGGATTCTCATTCGTCAAGTGCGGATAATGAACATCTGTCCTACTGGTCTCTCACAAATGAGTGACTGGATGCGAAAGGATGCCTCCAAGAACGGAGCACACCCCAAGTGCGAGGAAAGTTGGCGGCGACTTTGTGGGCAGAGTCTTTGAGGCCCTGGCTCCCATCCTAGCCCAGCAGATTATCAGACTCTCCAGGCTGAGGCTTGCAGAGTGGGAGGAAGAAAGCTAATTAGAAAGTGCAACACTAGACACAACCAAGTACATCAGGCCCTCCCAAGGCCAGTTTATTTATAGTCATAAAAACAGTCTTAACACTCAGTTCCACCTCTAGAATATCAGATAAGCTCAACTTTACTCTTTAAAGTGACACCTTGGAGGTGAGAAGAGGAAGCTCAGGTTTAGGTTCACAATCTCGCCCTCCACTGCCACCAGTGAAACTGGTGCCTGGGGCCCTGCCTGTGTGTTCAGTGACGGCACTGATGGTCCCGAGGCCAGAGTCACATTTTCTTCTGGCACCGTTATTTTGGGGTCAAGGTTAAAATTGAGTGCCCTGGGCCTCAAACGGTGGGGGAAACTCAGATCCCACTAACCAGCCAGGCTTAGGGGGGCTCAGTGGGAGAGAGGGGACTTCACCAGCCTGCGCTTTAACAGCCCGAAGCCAGGATGCAATCTGCCCCCAGCCCGGCTGGAATCACCAAGGTAACCCAAGAGGGCTGCCCCTCCCTGCTCTCACCACCCTCCTCAGCCCCTCGTTGTCCCTGGTCACTTCTCTGCCTCTTCTCAGTGCTTGTTGTTTGACCTCTTGTACCCACTAGTTATGTGGATTGTTTGGGGTAGGGAGGATAAGGTGCAGGGGCAGCCCAGAGAGTGAGTAACCAGGTCATCGGGGAATGGCCCTGGAGTCAGTAACGTGGAGACTTCCCCTCAGAGAGCCAGAGCTTCCCGTCTTCCTGCCCAAGCATTGCAGCATCCACTTACTCTGCAACTAAAGAGAAGCCCCTGTCCTCGGGGTGCTGGCTGTCACGGATGTGGCCCTGGCTTATCTGTCCAGCCTCATCTTGAGCCACTCTGCCCCGTCTCACTCAATGCCCCATCCCCATCAAACAGCTTTCAGTTTCCTTGAAACCAAAGGCTCTAAACTCTCTCCAGCCTCAGGGCCTTTGCATAAGCTGTCCCTTCACAGAAAAATTTGCCCAAGGTCACACTAGCTCTTCTACTGTCTCACCCTACCCAGCTTTCAGATGTCTGATTAAGCCTTTCCTGAGCCTCATCTTACAAAAAAGCCTTTCCTGACCCTCATCTCAATCTAAATTAAACCTCACTTGTGGTTTCCCTCATTGCATTTATCAGTTTGCAACTTATATTTATTTGCGTATTTGTTTATCATCTTTGAGCTCCATGAGGGCAGGGATGATATTCTCAGCACCAAGCAAGTGTCTGAAATAAAGTAGACACTGAGTGAATTTTTACTGAAGAAATGAAGAAGTAGGATTTTCACACAGGGAAGCAACTCAGACACTGCAAAAGAACGTGAAAGAAAGCCAAGTGCAGGGACACAGCTTGAAGGAGTATCAGAAGGAAGGTATAGTGACAAGCAACTTCCTAGAGGGGGTTTGAAGCCCAAAGAGGAATGGAAGTTTGGTCCTGGATCTGGAGTTTGTTTCTAGAACATTCCTTCTTTCCTAAGATCCCATCCTTGGGATCAGCTTGACCCATTTTGTGCTAAAGATGGGATGGGACAAGAAGGTCCTCGGCTCATTCAAAGGCCAAGAATCCTGGTTGGAAGTTAGGCTATTCAACAATGAACCCAGGAGAAGGTGCCCGAGGTGGCTGACAGATGTTTCTGGTACAGGCTTCCCGGTGAGGGACACCCGGGGGACACCAGCTGATGTGTGTCCCCTCCCTAATGACAGGATGGGATTCTGCTGGGAGCTGTTGGCGCCTATGACTGGAACGGAGCTGTGCTAAAGGAGACCAGTAGCGGGAAGGTCATTCCTCTCCGCGAGTCCTACCTGAAGGAATTCCCCGAGGAGCTCAAGAACCACGGCGCATATCTGGGTAAGAGCCAGAGCCAGAGCCGAGGGTGGCTGATGGGCGGTGGGCCAGGAGGGGACCCAGGGATCCAGAACCCGCCCACACACGAGGCGAGGGGCCTGTCTGTGCGCATTCTGTGCTGATTCAAGCATGAGTCAGGGGCCATTGCCTCTTCAGCCTGGCACCCACCCCGCCCAGCCCGTAGTAGGCTCTCGGTAAACAGGTAGATAAACGACCACCAGCGCACCTGTACCTGCAGTGTGTTTCAGTTGATGCTGCTAAGACTCTAGGTGAGCTGTTGGTGTGTTTAAAGCTTTCTGCCTTGACTAGGGTTTGAGTGTGCTGAACCTGCCTCCCCAAGGCAGATTGCAAGTCGAGGAGAAACCCACACTCATTTTTAAGTATTAATATTCACAATCAAGGCCAAAGGTGCTTCCCATTAAGCACTTTGGAAGTGGACATTCTCCAAAGAGAAGAACAAATCACTGACCTCCCAGCTGTGAGGCCTTAACCCGCTGATCCCAGTCCCCTCCAGCTCTGGAAAGCAGTGCCCCAGCCACCCACCGCGGCTGGTTGCTTTCTGAGAGGGCTGAGCCAGAGCCAAAGGCAGCAGGGGGTGAATGTCCAGGGCTCCCACTGTCTCTGGGTCTGTCTGAATTTCTGAACCACGTCTACCATCTGTGAAGTCACTCATCATTAATGCCTCCTCAGACCCCACTCCTCAGTGGACCTCAGCCATCTGGAGTTGGCCATAACTGTCCCCATGTCCATCCTCTCTCTAATGCTCCATCCAACCCTACCTTTGTCCCTTAGCTCTTCAGCTACACGCACTGCCTATGATGCTGCCCACATTGTGGCTACTCCATTTTCTATCCCCAACCTTGGGACCCTCAGCTGACAACAGGGCAGAATGCCAGAATCCCGACTGTCCCGGAAAATCCAGAGGTGTGGATCCCTAGAAGTTTCCCAACAGTACCTGGCCCTGGGACCTGGGTTCCATTTAATTTTATAGATATTAAACCCGGCCTGCGTCCAGAGCAGCTGTGTCCGTGCTATCAGAGTGAAATGGAAAGCAGGACACAGCCCCCGCCCCCAAGGTGCTTCCCAGACAGTGGGGGAGAGAGACATGTGCACAGATAATTAGCACACAAGTAGGGTAAGAGCCCAAATAAGTAAAGCACAAATAAAGGAGGGAGAGAGTGGTTTCCCTGCCTTGGCAAATGCTCAGACACTAGGAGAGACGTCAGAAGAACAAAGCCTGGCACCCCTTCACCTCAAATCAGTTGTGCTGTATTGTGCTCCTCCCATGTGCTCCGAGCTGTGCTGGAAGTGAGGGCACTAAGTAAGGGGCGTACGGCGCAGCTGCCACGAAGCATTAAATAACAGGCAGATGACGTCAGGGCCCAGGGCCCCAGTGAGTGGGAGAAGGGCTGTGGGTGCTTGTGGTGTAGCCGGCTGGCACACTCGCACTCGCTGTGCAGGAGCTGGGCCTGCACCAGCCCTCCAAATCAGAAAGAGATTTGAATAAGCCAAGGAGGTCCAAGCAAAGGAGGGCGGTGTGGGAGGTGTTAGGCGAGTTCAGGACACAGGAAGTAGACCGATGTGGCTGCAGTGGAGGGGAGCAGTAGGAACAGGAAGGGGAAGGCAGGGGAGGGCAGCTGCAGCCGGAGGCCTCGAATGCCAGGTGAAGGGGTTGAGCCTTTTCATGTTGGCAGTAGGGAGACAGTGAGGGTATCTGAGGGAGGGGCCAGCGGGATGAATATCCTCTCCCATCCCCGCCCCCAGCCAGCAGAGCTGTCTTCCTTCTCCCAGAAGACCCTGGTGGGGTAGAGCCGGGCTGAAGGACCCTCACAAGGCCCAACTGTCTTGCCTTAACCACAGTCACTGCCTTGAGTGGACGTCCTGAGGGAGTGCCTTCTCTCCTCCTCCTCCCTCTGGGGCTCATCCAGTGAAGGCCATGTCTGGGATCTCTGGAAGATTCCTCCCTACGTGCCCCAAGGGAGAGGGGAGGTTTGGGGGAAGGAGACTGGGAGGCCAGTCTCTCCGCCTCCACACTGAGGAAGCTGTATGAACTTCTGGCCACGGGTCCTCTCGGCAGGCCTACAGGGAGGCTGATCCAGCTTTCTGGAGGGCCCCGCCCGCTGGCCAAAGAGCCACGTGGGAACTGAAGCTGTAGCCAACAGACTGCGGGAAGCAGGAAGTTCTCAGTGCTGCTTGGAACTTTGAGACTCAGCCCACGCCTGCCCCCAGGACATTAGGCCCCAATCCCCCACCACGGTCTCTTCTTCCGAGGAAGCCCAAAAGCCCAGGGCCAATAGAGAACATTTTCAGCGGTGCCACTGAGGGCTCAGCTCGGAAGAATTCTTTGTTCCACACCTCAAGGCTAATCCCACCTACGCTCATATATTTATGGTTGTGCTAAATACACGGCCACATTAGCCACTCCCATGCAATATCCTGGCCTTACCAACCTTTCAAGCCCCATTTCCCAGAATTTACCTCCAAGAGTCAAAAACATTATGTCTGGAACCAGAGTAGCCCACCCTACTGCACCCACACTTCTAGCCACTGAGTCAGCTCGTCTATACATCCTGCAACCACTCTGGAAGCAACCGATGGGACCTGAATGACAGTGTTACACACACACACACACACACACAC